GGACCGGCCTGGGCGGTGACGGGGACGCACCGCCGGCGGGGCGCCCACGTCTTTGGAAACTGCCGTTAGGGGGTTTGCGTGCGTATCTTAGTTTCGTTGGTTTTCTTAATGAAAACGATGATGACGAGCGACACAAGCCGGCGGGACGAGCCCGAGGCCGCACGGGCGTCTGGACGGGTGGGTCTGTGGGGCGACGCGCCGATGAAAAGCCATCTAGCAATCCGAGAGGGTGGCCTCAGCGTCCGGGACCCCCTGCACCCCGCTCCACCTGCCGGGGGACCCCGCTGGGCGAGGGCGGACCACGGTCCTCGGTGGCCGGGGAGGTCCCGTCGAGCTGGCGAGCGCGCGCTGCCCTCTGTCACTTGCTAAGGGGGGACTCCCTCCCCAGGCCTTGTCCCCACCGCAGGCAGCTCCCAGACCGGCTGGTACGTAGCCTTTTCTCTTGCTGCCAGTGTCACGAGCTCCCCGAGACGTGACACTGGAGCCTATTGTACAACCCACGGCGGGCGAGGATGTTCGAGGTGCCGAAGCCCCAGCGTCCCAGGTGTCGTGGGGCCGCGCCCACGTTGGTGGCGGTGGATCTCTGGTGACCCCGTGGCGTCCGAGGCCTCTCCGGGATCCCTTCCGCGCGGACTCGCCTGCGCGCTGCCAGTGTCACGAGCTCCCCGAGACGTGACACTGGAGCCTATTGTACAACCCACGGCGGGCGAGGATGTTCGAGGTGCCGAAGCCCCAGCGTCCCAGGTGTCGTGGGGCCGCGCCCACGTTGGTGGCGGTGGATCTCTGGTGACCCCGTGGCGTCCGAGGCCTCTCCGGGATCCCTTCCGCGCGGACTCGCCTGCGCGCGCGAATGCGGTGTCACCGAGGCCAGTCCGCGTCCTGGTGCCACGAGGCCACCCTGCACGTTTCAGGTGAGGCCCGCGTGTCTTGACGACCGACGTGGGTCCGAGACTCCCCAGAGCCTCCCAGGCCGCAGGCCGTCTGGTGCCCTGTCTGGCTGCTAGGCTGGGACAGTGTTGCTCTGACCCACGTCGCGTAGGGGCTCGGCCAGCCTGGTGACCGCGGTGCCCCCTGGGGGACTGGGCCTTGCCCGCGGGCCCCTCCTCGTGGAGCATGCTGCCCCGATGGCAGATTCCCGCACCGGCTCCCTCCCCACCATCGAGGTGTGTAGCCTTTTCTCTTGCTGCCATGCCAACGTCCCCATTTGCGGGAGGGTGTCATCACACTCACCGCTAGTGGGGCGGGCTGTCAGATACGTTTCCCCACTTCTGGGTGTTGTGGGGCCCCGCTGCTGCGTGTGCCCCCCTAACTTGGCACCCCCGGACCACCAATGGTATTGTTTCCAGGAAACCAGACAAGCTGTCTCTAAAATGCATATGGGGAAAATAAGAAATGCACAAATAATAAGAGCTCTGTCACAAACAAGGAGGGATGGCTGTCCCCATTTGTAATATTAAAAAATATTACACGACGGCATTAATTAGAACAGCATCCGTTGTGTTTTCTAGGGCTGTGGAAACAACGTACCACAAACTGGTGGCTTTAAAAGAATCTATTCTCTCCCAGTTCTGGAGGCTACAAGTCTGACGTGGAGGAGCCTCTGAGGCTCTGGATAGAATCGTTCCTTGTCTCCCTCGTCCCAGCTTCTTGGTGGTGACTGTCAGTCTCTGGCCTGCTGCTGCTGCACTCCAGTCTCTGTCCCTCTGTGTCTCAAGTCTGTCCCCAAATTTCCCACTTAGGGAGGACACCTGTCCTGTGGGAGGAGGCCCGCCCTACTCCAGCATGACCTCATCTTCATTACAGCTTCGATGACCCTATTTCCAAATAAAGTCACATTATGAGGTACTGAGGGTTACAACTCTAAGGTATATTTTGGGGAGCGGGGCGGGGGACACAAAATTCAACCCATAGCACGCATGCGTAGACAGAAGAGCACAGAATAGAAACCGAAATAAACTACGTATATTGTGGGATTCGATCTAAAAATAAAGGTGATCAATTGTATAGCAATTTGGGGGGAAAAAATGAAAGTTAAGGGCTCCCTCTTCCTCCTTCTATCAAAGTCACTTCCGGCAGGATCAAAAGTTTACATGAAAAAATGGATAACGGAAATGGTGAGAATCTTGGAGCGGAGAATGCCTTTCTAAAGATGACACAGAGCCCAGAATCTCTACATTTACTTGTATAAATTAAAGTAGATATGAGGTGACCGTACTGTGAAGTCACTTCCACTCAGTCACGGTTTCTGAGAAAACCACGGGGTGCCAGCCAGTCTGCTGGGACCTGTGTGTCACCTTGGGAGGGCTCATGCGGGGGAAGAAGAACACTGAGGTGTGTGGGCGGCGAAAATTGAGAACGTCCCGCATAAAACGGCAAGGTCTCCGTCCACTCTGCTGGGCCGCGCAGCTGCTTTTCTAAGACTGACTTTGGCTACTGGCCCAGCTCAGCTTAGCTCAGGGATGACTCCCTCCGTCTACACCGCATACCCCTGCCCCCTGCTCATGTAGCACCTAACCAGTCGTAGCTCTCCAGCAACTCTCGGCACCCAGGCGCCCGACTCCAGCTACCCACCAAAAAGAATTGACCCCCACTGGCTGTCCCGGGCTGGATCCCGTTACAAAACCTTGTCTCCACGGAAAGGTGCAGTCACGTTACATCCCTAACTTTTTTTTTTTTTTTTTACGCCCTTCATTTTTAATGTTAGTCTTCCCGACAAGGACCAGCGTTTTGCCATAAATCTGTTCTTGAAGACATCGATTCAGCCTCCTCGCGACTGTTTCTCTTCTGTTAAAATTCTGAAATTTGTCTTAAACTTTAGTGCCAGGATAAACTTTCTCTCCTTGAAGGGGCTGACATCTTTCTTCTTTCTAGACATGAGAAGCAAAAACGCCTTGCGTGGTGTGTGTGCCATGGCACACGCCTCTCCGTGCCGGGCCCACCGGCACCCTGGGGTGGCCACACACCACTGCTGCAGGCCCCCACTCTCCTCGCTCCCCTGGGACGGGCCCTCAGAACAGCATCCGGGGACCGGGATGCTCACACGTTTAAGGAATGAGCCATGGGACACCGATATTCCATGGCAAGTGGCGTCACTGGTTAACAGTACAGGAGAGGAAGACCGTGGGAAAGCGAGGGGCTGCGGAAGTCACAGTGGCAACGAGAGGGATTAGAGACCACGGGGTCAGCGGGCTGCTCCCGGTGGCCCGCGAGCACACGCACAGGGAAGAGGACAGACCGAGGCAGCGATGGTTGATGCGGAGCCCGAGCGGGAACTCAGAGCCCTGAGTTCCCGCATCCCGCAGGGGACACATGGCTGGAGTCCGGTCCAGGGCCTGCTGTCGGGGTGACAGAGTTGCATTGCCAGGCCCATGCTCAACCCCGTCTGGTCCGCGAAGCGCACAGATGGCAAAGGAGTGGGACCCTGAGACACGAGTTGACACCAAGGGGGTGCTGAGAACGTCTCGAAGCGGAATTCGGGGTGTAGTGTGTTGGCGGGAGCACCGGGGAATGGTGTGCCGATCCGGTAGGGATGTCACCTGAAGCCTGCGGTCAAGGTGGCCTAGAGTCAGCACCCGGGGACAGTGACCTGGGCGGACTGCGTGGTGGCCTTCCTGCAGCTGGTACAGATCGGCCTCTTGGGGCAAGAACTGAGTGGCGTGAACATCGAGGCACAAAGAAATATCCAGCACCTTTTTCTAATGTTTCGATGAAGAAATGTCCTCTGAGCCACCTCTGGAAGGCACCCTTAGGGGCGCACGTGGGGGACCCACACAACCCGTTTCTCCTGAGCCTCTGGACCACATTCTTTGTAGGCAAATCCCAAGAGGGCAACCCCACGTTGACTGTGGCTGACAGGGTGGGTAGGTGGGTCGGTGTGAGCCGGGGGAAGAGGGGCGATGAAGGGTTAAGGAGGCCCCCCGAGCTGCTCAGCAGAAGAATCTGGCAGGCTTCTGGAGCCCCCGCCCCTCGTTCCCTCAAGGTCAGAAGCCAGATATGCACAGGCCACGTACCTGGCCCTGTCTGCTGCTTTCCTTGCCCCTCCCCCCCCATGCTCCTGCATGGTTAACTGCAGATGACCATTATGTGACCTCTGGGGTGCATGACAGGTATGGGCGAAGGGAGTTAACTGAGCATGCGCCTGCCCTCAAACTCTTCGGGGCGCAGACGTATGACTGCCCACCTATGGGCACACATGCGCATGCCCGGGCCAAGGCCCACGGTTCAGACGGAGGAGCTGGGAGTTTGGGTGCATCAAGGCTGGAGGGCCCGAAGGACAAACTACGGCCCAGAAAATCTCGGACCCCCAATTTCTCAGCACACTGGATTATTATGGAGCTGCCCGTCATAACTGACTCTCTTCAAGCGTGCTTTGCTTTGCTCTACTTAATAAAATCGCTTCCACTTGCTATTCTTGGCCTTGTCTTTCTTCTCTGAGCAAATTTTTCGTGGGGGATCCAAGGACACGGCCCCAGACACCTAAGCGCCGGTCCCACAGCCGCTGTATGAGCTTCCTCCCGCCGAACCCCAGACTCTTTCAGGACACAGACACCTAAGTGCCGGTCCCACAGCCGCTGTATGAGCTTCCTCCCGCTGCTGTGACAAATGAACCACGAACTGGTGGCTTACAACAGTTCTAGGGGCTCGAGTCCACTTTCGAGGTGTTGGCATGGCCAAGCTCCCCGCGAAGCCTCAGGGAGGACCTTCTCTTGCCTTTGTCAGCTTCTGGCGGCCCCAGGCACTCCTCGGCTGGTGGCTGGACCACTCCAGTCTCTGTGCAATCACCAGAGGCGGCGCTGGTACACTGGCTTCCACAGTGCCACCACAGTGAGCGCCATCACAGTGATGGTTACCTCCTCGCCTTCCCTAACTCCTTTCTCACCTAGGTGAGAAAAAAGCAGCAGCCAGGAGACAGGAGTGGACCGAAGGCAGGAGGAAGCCAGGCCAGCGCGGTCCTAGAAGCTGAGAGTGTTTTTCAAGTGACGTCCAATTTCCGCCAATGACGCTGCCTTAGGTGCTGAGTATCTGTCAGACTTGGTTTTGGTGGGACGCGCGGAGCGGAGGGGAAACCGGACACAGAACAGAGGACACGGGCTGAAGGAGACTAGCGGTCCCTGGCAGCGCTGGCACAGGAGAGAGGCGGGGCCGGTCACAGGAGTGACACCCAGTGTGTGCGCTGCTACGGACGGCCTGGGACCGAGGACGGTCAAGGGCCGCCAGGCCGAGTAAGACGAGACCAACAGCCCCGCTGGAGTGTGAAATCTGACCCAGGGAGCAGAGAGGAACAGATGACAAGCGCGACAGGAAGAGCAGCAGAGGGGACCAGGGCTTTGTTCTCACACGATGAGAAGAACTCCGCGTGCTCAAACGTGTGCTGAGGCGGGGGTCGGAGAGACGGCGGCGGGGGCAGGACAGGAAGGACAGGCACAAGGCGGAGTCTGCGAGGAGGGCGTGGCACCCAAATATGACCGTGCGCGCCGGTCCCCTCACCCGCAGACGCAGGCGCATTCGGCCAAGGACCCATCTCCAGCTGCTGGGCTTTCAGCCCGATAGTCCCCTCACGGTCCCCCACGATCAGGATGGTGCCGGGTCACATGCTGGTCACTGAAAACCTGCCAGCTCGCGCGTGTCCGCAGCACCACTTCCGAGCTGCCGGCAGCCTATGTTGGGCACACACAGTGACCCCAGCTGCAGCCCTTGGCTGAGGCACGGGGGCGTGTCCTGCAGGTTCTGGCCCCGCCTCCTCTTTCAGAGGAGGCCAAGACCTACCGCCCTGGGCAAAGGCCGGCCCCGCGCCTGGAAAAGCTTACTGCCCAAGACTCAGCAGCACACAATGCTTACAATGTCATACTCTGCCCAGCTCACTGTTTCCTTGGCTGGATCAAGGACCTCTTGTCACCTATGCCCCTCGGCTGTGAGGGACACAAGGACGAAGTGATGGGAGACCAGTTACTTACCCCTCTAAGCTTCGGTTCCTGAAAGGCAAGGTCACAGCAGTACGGACCTCAGAGGACTGTAGTGAGGACTGAACGTAAAGTACAAAGAACTGAAACAGCTCGGCACCTCTTAATCCACTCTCCAGGTGGCATGGCCCAGGGACCACCTCCGAAGGTGCCAGCTGCAAGGCGGGCTTTCGGAATTCAGCTACCGCGGAATGTAAGCGGTTTGTTCTCATGTGCTCGTGACTTAAAAATTTCTAAATTTATGGAAAAGTGAGGTTTGAGGGAAATCGGTAACATCTCACAATCTGTACTAAAACACGCACTTCTGCTTCCAAAACGAACAGTCGAGTACTGCTTAACGCACGTTTCTGAGACGGGGCATCACTTGTAAAATTCTTAATCTTTTAGCAGGAAATGAAATGGGACATCTCTTGCAGAGTTAATCCTTTTAGTAAACCTAGTTTTCTTTCCTCCTTTCTTTGGAAAAAAAGGCCCTCTCCCTCAAATCCTGATAACTGCCCTGGCCACTCGGATCCTCTGGCTATTGATAAAGCAGCGTTATCAGCCCATCCTTAAGCGGAAATGGCGTTAAGCCAGGCAAGGCCCTTAGAGTCTGAGAAAGGAGGGGACTTTAAGCCAAAGAAAAGTCTTTTCACTCTTCAAGAAACATATTAACCAAGCCTATTTCCCTTTACTCACTTAATAGGCAAATCGATAATAGAAATTAATAGATATATGATTTAAATAATGAGTTTGTATCTTCTCTT